CGTGTTTGCCTTTGGTGTGGTACTCCTGGAGCTCGTCTCGGGGCGTGAGGCGGTCGATGGGCCGCTCTGGGCCACTGCCCGTGAGGTCCTTGAGGACGGCAGGGCTGAGGCTGTGCGTGAGTGGGTGGATGGGTGTGTGGGGGAGGAGGAGATGGAGAGTGCGGTGGGGGTGCTGGGGTTGGGGGTGGCTTGCGTTGACGGGGACCCCGTGAGGAGGCCGAGCATGGTGGAGATTGTGTACGCGTTGTCCAAGAGTGGTGGTGGGGAGGCGTTCCTGGACTTGTCTGAGGAGGGTTTTTCGCCTAGGAAGGTGGTGGATGCGAGATGAGGAAGAGTTCCCCAAAATTACTATTTCGTTGTTTTCAAATCGCCTGAGAGAGCTTTTTTGGGAGTAAATAAGGCAGTGGATCAAAAATAATTGGGCAGTGTGTTTGTAAGATGTTAATTTCGGAAGTAATTGTCGCTTTTGTTTTGATTATATATGCTGTTTAGGGATAATGTGGCTGTGTTATGGCCTTATGGCTATGTATATAGTTGTTACATGTAATGCTTGGGATTGAGTTCATGTTGAGGAGGTTTGATTAGAGTACGGGTTACCTTCGCGGCCAACAAAATTAAAAGTTGAGTACAAAGTAGTGGTTAATTATGCAACTTGATTGACCCGATATCATATTATTCAAATAAGAAGTACATTTTAGTACTTTTACCTTTAATTATTATAATTATATTCATTTTAGTATTTTTACCTTTAATTATTATAATTATATTTCATTTTTATGTTGTTTATTAAAATATGACATTTTATAATAATATAATCACTTTTTATTGAAACAGCATGTTGGACTAAGAGCATATGAGTTTTGATGTATCTAAAAAAAAAAATTCCTCTTTGGGAGGCGATATTTCTCCATTGGGGGCTTTGAGTTAGGGTTCCTGAATTCCTTCAAGGGAGGGCATTTTTTCTTTGTAATCTGAGCTAGTATCATTTCTGATCTGTTTATATGAGGGTCTAGCCTATTCTTGGTCGCTTTTATCTTCCATTGCAGATTGTTGTTTGTAATGGATTCTTCGGTCTCAGGGGTCAGTAAAGGGGATAACATTTTTGAAGAAATTGAACGCAGGCTCCAGAAGATTGATTTAGCTAGCAACGAAAGTTCAGTTGTTGAGATTAAGAATGACGATATCCATTTATGCGAGGAAGAATGTGAACGCAGCCTGTTTGGTAAAATAGTTGGGGACAAGAAGGCGAGTCTTATGGGGATCAAGTGCACAATGGGCATAATCTGGCAAATCCAACACCAATTCGAGGTTCGTGAAATCAAAACTAGTTTCTTCCAATTTATTTTTCGAAGTGTAGAAGATAAAAGAAAAGTAGCCTCGGGGATAAACTGGGTGTTCTTAAATCAATTTCTGATTCTGCTAGAATGGGAAGAAGGTCTATATGAGGCTCATCATAAATTCTCGGAACTTAAATTGTGGGTGCAAGTTAACAACCTGCCACTGAACTGGCTTTCTTCTGAGGTGGGCCTTAAAATCGGAAAAATTTTCAAAAAAGTGTTGAATGTCACAGTAGTTAAAGCTGGGGGTAACAGAGGCAGTTTCCTTAGATTGTTGGTCGTGATTGATCTGCTACAACCTTTGCCAAGATTCCTCAAAATGAAGCTTAATGACACTCAGAAAGTGGTTGCATTCCAATACGAAAGGCTGGTGAATTTCTGTCATTATTGTGGTTTTGTGGGCGATCTTGAGAGAACATGTTCTAGAAGAATATCTGATATTGATAAAGGGTGTCTGAAGGAGGGTCTGTATGGGGATTGGATGAAGGCATTGGAGGGTCATTTTGGAGGAAGATCTGCAACATCTTTCAGCCCGACAAATTCAAAAGAAGCTTCTCCTAGTAATGAGGAAGCAGATCAGGAGGGAATGGTGAAAATTTTGAGTAACCAGTCAGTGCGTAGTAGAGCTCATACAGAACCATTAGAAAAGCCAAGGCAAATTATTGAGGTTGTGGGAGATAGCAACCAGATGGGGGCCAGTAATCAAAAAGTAGAGAAGAACACTGAGTTAATTACATTCAAGGAGACAGAAGCTTTATGTGTTATGGATTTTGAAAAAGGTTGCTTGAGCAAAGTTGTGGAGGATTCAGGGTTAGCAGGGGAAATGGAGTTTGAGGAAGGACAGGGTTTTCAACTGGATGGAGTTCACTGCAACACACCTCTTATTGTTAATGATCAATCTAAGCAAGGTAGGAAAGGGTGGAAGAGACTACCAGGGCAAGAGGGCAGAAACTCCAGTGACAGACTAGAGAAGAGTGAGATGATACCTGCTCTGAAAAACAAGAAAAGAGAGAGTACTGCAACTGTTGAAGATGAGGCCCTAACTAGTGAGTTTAACTTGATGAATGCTTCAAAGAAACAGAAGGGAGAATCCAGTAAGGTGGAGGAGGCCAGCCATGAGTGGCCCCACCCCCATCAATGAAGCTATTCCTGTGGAACTGTAGAGGTCTGGGTGGTCCCTCGACAGTTTCGCAGGTAAAGGAGTCCTCAAGACTCCACCACCCTTGTTTGTTTTTTATTTCTGAAACTAGGAAAAAAAAGAGATTTTGTCAGATCTGTGTGTAATAAAATCAGATTTAGGGATAGATGGAGAGCCATTGATCCCCAAGGTCTGAGTGGTGGGTTAGTTATTTTGTGGAGTAAAGAGATTTCTATTAAGAAGATTGTGGAGCACTCATTTTGGCTTGAAATTGAGGTGGATGCTGGGATAAACACTTGTTCTACTTGGATTATCTTGGTCTATGCTAGTGTCAATGAGATGGAGAGGGAAAATCAATGGGAGGAACTCTTAGATGCTAAAAGAAATTGGGGAGACAAATGGATTGCATGGGGGACTGGAATGAGATCAGGGAAGCTAGTGAAAAAAAAAAAGGAGAAAGGTTGAAATCAGTGGTAGACTGTAGGGGTTTTAACAACTTTATAGCCCTCATGGGTATGCAAGAAATCATAATGGCTGGGCATTTCTTTACTTGAGCTAATAACATGGAAGGAGAAGGCTTCATTGAGGAAAAAATTGACAGAGTGTTTGGTTCATTTGGTTGGATGGCTCAATTTCCCAATGCAATGGTTGAAACCTTCTACAGAAGTTCTTCTGATCACAGGCTGTTATTGCTTACTGATGATAAGTCCCTCAATCAATGCTTTAAAAAAAGATTCTTTTTCAATAAAAGATGGATTAAAAATGCTGAAGTTAAAGAGATTGTCAAGCAAGCTTAGCTCAAGCCTAAAATAGGGACCTCTATGTTTCAAGTCAAGGAGAAAGTTAAAGAAGCCAGAGTTGCATTATTAAAATGCAGCAGTTTTTTCAAATAAAAAAAAATGAGCAAGACAGAGTGGCCATTGCTGATCAGTTAGAACAAATGAGCAAAATTGGGGAGAATAGAGATTTGGGTGAATGGGACAGGCTGAGGATGGAGCTCAACAAAGCCAACAAAAAAGGAAGAATTCTGGCAACAAAAGGCAAGAATCTCATGGCTGAGAGAAGGTGACTCAAATACCAGATATTTCCATGCCAGGACAATGCAAAGAAGGAAATCCAATGCTATTCATAGGCTGATGAATGAGGATGGAGTTGTATATGAATCTCGGGAGGATATTGAGGATTGTATATGTACTTTCTATGAGAAGTTGTTTTCATCTGGGAATTCTGAAAGGGAAGATTCATTGCAGCCATTAATCACTCCCACTATTTCTGAAGAGATGAACCAGGCCTTAGTGTCTCCTATTACTGAAGAAGAAATCAGAGAAGTTCTTTTCAGTATGAATCCAGGAAAAGCCCCAGGTCAGGATGGCATGCCTCCTTTATTTTTCCAGTTTTTCTGGGATGTAATTAAGCATGACATCTGTGAGGCGATCTTTAGTTTTTTTTTTCTTCTGGGAGATTGCTTAAAAGCTGGACCCACACTTTGATTACCTTAATTTCCAAGTGTCCAAATCATGTCTCTATTAACCAATTCAGACCCAGTAGCCTTTGTGGGGTGACTTATAAAATCATTACTAAGCTTTTAACCTTGTGACGGAAGGCTTTCTTGAATAATTGTGTGAGTCCTAACCAGGCTGCATCCATACCAGGGAGACAGCTATTAGATAATGTCATTATTGCTCAGGAGGTTATCCATTTTCTTAATAGGCATAGGTCTGGGAATCAGAGGTACATGGCCATTAAATTTGATATGGAAAAGGCTTATGATAGGCTAGAGTGGGGTTGCATTCTAAAATCATGTTGAGAATGGGTTTTCAGAGGACTTTTGTGAGTTGGGTTATTGCATGCATTTCCAATACTTCATTTTCTTTCAACATTAATGGCCAAATGAAGGGCTTTATCTCTGCCTCTAGGGGAATCAGGCAAGGGGACCCTTTATCCCCTTACCTGTTCATCCTAATGTCTGAAATGTTCTCTAAATTATTGGGGGACGAGGTGTTGAGAGGTGATTTCAAAGGCATCAAGCTGGCTAGGTCTGGTCCTCAAATTTCTCATCTTCTATTTGTGGATGATCTCCTTGTATTCTGTGTTGCTGATGATTTTCATGCTAGAGCTATGTTGAATGTGCTGGACAAGTATAATAAATTTACAGGGCAAAGAGTGAACTGGAATAAGTCTGCTGCCTTTTTCAGTAAAAACTGCTCCAGGGAACTGAAAGGGGTCATTTGCCAAGCTCTTAATGATATAAATCAGCATTCTTCTTCTAGATACCTGGGGTTACCCCTGGGTATTGGCAAATCAAAGAGGGAGGCTTTTTCTTATGTACTTGAAGCTATTCAGAAGAAATTAGTGAGGTAGAAGAATAGATTTCTGCCCAATGCAGGAAAGGAAGTTTTACTAAGAGGTGTGATTGATTCGTTGTCTGTCTTTTCCATGTCATGTTTTTGTCTGCCAAAAGGTCTCTGTAAAGATATTGAAAAGCTAAGTGTTGATTTCTGGTGGGGTAAAAGTGAGGAGCATAAAGGTGGATTGCATTGGAAAACCTGGAAAGTAATGACACTGCTAAAGAAGTTGGAGGACTGGGAATCAAAGATGTTTGTCTTTTCAATGAAGCTCTAATTCTTAAGCAAATGTGGAGGATTCTCACTAAGCCCAACCTTCTGGTCAGTCAAATGCTTAAAAGTAAATACTTTCCCAAGTGTTTTGTTCTTCAAGCTTCTAAATCATCCTCTGCTTCTTGGGTGTGGGCTAATTGGTAAAGGTTAGAGACAAGTACAAACATTTATTTCAGGTGGAGATTGGTGATGGTACTACTACCAGAATTTGGGATGATCCTTGGCTAGAGGGGAC